AAAACAACGACTTATTTTTATAAGTAATATCACAGTTATTCCAAATAAAGTACCGGTGAGGACTAAAATTGTGTTTATAAATTAGGTGCCAGGCCAAAAGCGCTTGTTTATGAAAATTTGACAATTTAAGGGGCAATTTGGAGATGTTAGTTACATAACAAGAGAAAAGGGAGACCTCCCACCTTAGAGAAAACAAGACTAGGGAGAGTATTCCAGAAAGAATCAGGGTTTGTTAAGTACTGTTTTAACCAATTTATCTTGAAAGTATTATTTAAAGAAGTAAAATCTAGAAAGTTTAGACCACCACACTCATAATTATTAATAACCACATACTTTTTAACGTAATGCCTCTTATGCTTCCACAGGAAATCAAATAGCATTCTATCAATATCTGCACACGCAGCTTTATTCACATATAAGGAGAGAGCTGGGTAAGTCATTCTTGAGATACCCTCAGCTTTAGCAATAAGAGTTCGTCCTCTCAGAGATAAATCTCTCTGTAACCATGAATTGAATTTCCTTTTAGCTTTCCCAACAACTGGGTCAAAGTTCAGTCTGCATCTGACTTTATCATCCTTACATATGGATATACCCAGATAAGTCACCTGTGACTTAACTGGAATACCGTAAAGAGAGAGAGAAGGACAGGTTTTAACAGCTAACAGCTCACATTTATTAAGATTTAAGCTTAAACCGGAAGCTTTAGAGAAAAATTTAATGTGTTGGATTGCAATCGGAATCTGTAATTCATCCTTTAGAAACAGGGTAGTGTCGTCAGCTAGCTGACTAATAAGTATATGTTTGTTGGAAATAGTAATACCTTGCAGATGGCTACTCAGAAGAAAGGAGGAAAGAAGTTGTGCAGCCACAAGAAATAAATAAGGGGATATAGGGCAACCCTGACGAACTCCCCTTGACAATTGAAATCTAGGCGAGGTACCTGATTTAAGGTTGATGGAACAGTTGGCATTGTTATAAAGAGTTCTTATAAACTTCCAGAATGGATCACCAAACCCAAGCTTTTGGAGAGCTAGAAAAATAAACTCGTGTTCAAGAGAGTCAAAAGCTTTGTAAAAATCTAGAAAAAGAATAAAACTGCCATCATCAACTAATTCGCTATAGTCTAATAAATCTAGAACCAGTCGGATATTGTTTGCTATATGTCTTTTTGGCATAAATCCTGATTGAGTCTCATCAATAACTGAACTCAGAACACACTTAAGTCTTTTGGCCAAAGCCCAAGCTAATATTTTATAATCGTTATTAAGAAGACAAATAGGTCGCCAATGATCTATCAAAGTTGTATCTTTTTTAGGTTTAGGTATCAGAGTTAAAAGCCCTTGTGTTAAACTAGAAGGCAAAGTTTCTGACTGAATACTCTCCAAAAACATCTCTAGCAGGAACGGTGCTAATTCTTCAGCAAAGTGTTTATAAAACTCGGCCGTTAGGCCATCGGTTCCAGGAGATTTGTTATTTTTAAGGCCCTCAATCCCCTCAATTACCTCAGTGATAGTTATAGTTTTATCACAGGTAAGCTGCTCATCTTTAGATATAGATTTAACCTCCTTTAATGACTGAAAGAAAAGAGAGGCTGAGTCCTTACAGTAATTAGATTGATATAGTTTAGAATAAAAGTTGCTACAAAAAGAGGCAATTTCCTTAGAATTATCTGTCCAAATGCCATTAATTTGTAGCGAACCAATGGAAAGATTCCTAGAGTTGTGTTTTTCCATTCTAAAAAAATAAGCAGAGCTCTGTTCACCTTGTTCTAGCCATTTCCTCCTTGAACGAACATAGGAGCCTTCAGCTTTGTATTTATAAATATTGTCTAATTTAGATTGGAGCTCTGTAAGTTCTGTTAGAACAGTTTCCGATAAGCATCCCTGAATTTTGCTCTGAAGTGTTATGATCTTTGATATGACCTTCTCCTCTTCATTCCTTCTCTGTTTTGCCAAATTGCTGCTAAAATGTCTAATACACATTCCTACTTCATATTTTAACAATTCCCAATTTAGACCAAACATTTTTTCAGAAGAAGCTTTTACCCAGTAGTATCGAATCAGAAAGGAAATTCTTTTTTTCAATTCATCATGCTTAAGTAGAGATGAATTCAGTTTCCAGTAAGAGGCTCTAGAATTTGTATTTGAGTGCCCTGTGGAAAGAGGAATAGAAAGGAGAATAGTGTGATGATCTGTTAAAGGAGAGGGGAGAATACTAACCGAAACATTATAATCTTTGAAAGAGTTTTCGCAATTGCATTTATATCTCACAATTCTGACCTTTTTTTTCGCAATTGCGATTTAACAATATTCTAAATATAGAAATTAATTTTAGATTTATAATATTAATTTTTAGGTGTATACATTGGGTGTTTATAAAAGATAGGTGCCTTTGAAATTTTAGGATGGGGTCCCTCACACGAGGGTGATGACTGATCATATATTGATGATGGTCCATGGCATTTAAATGATTGTAAACCCCTGCTAGGGACGGGTATGCGATGCGATGCATCAGCTTTTCTCCACGCATACAGTGTATGCAGCTCGCACATGCGCCTTGATTTTTTGTTTTTTTGTTGCACAAATTAGTTTGAATGCGTCCATATCCGAATTACCGTAATTACCAGATACCGATCTATAAAAAGTGTTCACTTGACTCTTGTAAATTTGGCTTGTACCACGTGGCCGCTGTACCACCTACCGCTGCAGATTAATTTTTGTCGTTGAAAGTGTGGCAATAGATAGAACCGTTTAATTCCGAGTCCGAGCGAGGACGTGAACAGGACAGGACAGGTCCGAGTAGAATGTCACGGGTTGTCGTTTGTCACTTTTCCTCTAGTAATTACGGTAATTACGGCATGGCTTGAACGCTGCATTTGCCCACAAGGTGGCAACACTGGTCCGGTCCGTTGTTTCAAAGTCGGGAATGAAACGGGGGAGACAGAATAAGAACAGCACAAACGACTGAAGACGGCAACAACAATAGACTCCCGCGTTGACGAGAGCCGGTGTAAGTGATACCCCACAATTCTAGTTTAAACGAGCACAAAGACATTTTTATCGCTCATAAGATTTGGAGAGAAATATCGCAGACACTAGAAAAGGATGCCTCTTTGTAATGCGCATGTGTCGAGCACTGTATTCGCGCAGTGTAACGTTACTTAGAAAAGCTGCTTCTGATTGAGAGAGAAAAAAAAACAACCGACGTACACTTTGGGCTCATGATCCGTAAGATATCTTTCTAATATACTGTTCAGAATCAGTTTTTTTTTTTTATGAACAGGAAGTTTGAAGAGCAGCGTTTTTTTTATAGGAACCATTATAAATAGCTTAACGCACCCTTGCTGATTACAAGTAGCAGTCTATTAAAATTATATAGGCTATTATTAAAAGGCTATTATTAAAATAATTACCGGAACTGTATATGTTAAGCATTAATAATCACTGGCAAAACAAACTTATGTCTGCCATGTAGGAAGGTAAATTGTTTCTGTAACGTCCTGTCCATCTATAACTTACTGTTGTAATTTAGATTTCACTGTCATTTCAAGCTTTGGTAATTATATATATATATATATATATATATATATATATATATATATATATATATATATATAAACAATGAACATTCAGTGTTTGTTTGGTGAGCTGAGACGTGTGAGAGAAGCAAGGTGTTACTGCATCCTTTGAATCATAGTCAATGTATAGTTAGATTTTTTTCTGTCAGTGAAAGAAATGAGAGCAAATAGGTGGAATAAATAATTAAGATTATAACTGATGATAGGCCATCTCTGTCGTCTTTTATTATAATTAAATATAAATTAATGTTTTATTTATAAAAAAAAGAAGAGTTCTCAGCTTGGTTTGGATGTTTAGCTAAAAATTTTTTTAAATGGGCATGAAGTTTTTAGTTTTAGATTTTATTAAAAGGATCCCCATTAGCTACAGCCGTGCTGCAGCTATTCTTCCTGGGGTCCTGAAAAATATGTACATTTAAAAATACAACAAATAAATGGAAAAGGTGAATACACAAACACATACACATATACACATACATATACACATGTATATATACACATATCAACGTACATATGTACCCTCATACGGGCATGAAATATACACATATATAAAAACACATTCTACACATACACCTATAAACATACCTACACATGACATGTACATACATATTCCCACACATATATAAATAAATATAAACAGTCAGATATATTATTTTGATAGATGCTGTTTTACATATAATTTAAATTTATTGACATTATTAGTAAGCATGATATGTTTTGGCAGTTTATTCCATTCCTTCATACCTCTGAACACAACAGTGTTTTTTATGGCATTTGTTCTTACTATGGGTAAGGTGAAGTTACCTTTAGTTGCATGTCTGGTACTGTACTGATGATTGTCTACACTAAAAGAAAGATGCTTGAACAAAACAGAAGGAAATTTTGAGATAGAAATATTTCTTATGAAAATTAACAGTGAATACAACAGTCTATCTTCGACCAACAACCAATTAAGATCTTTGTGCATTAATATAATATTTCTCCTATAGCTGCACCTAAGTGCTACAAGAGCAGCTCTATTCTGTATAAGTTGTAATTTATTCATATATTCACCAGTGGCATTTGACCAAACTGCTGGGCAATAGTCGAGATATGTCAATATTAGTGCTTTCATCGCATAATTCATAATATTTGAAGTTAAAAAATTTGCATGTCTTCTCATAATAGATATACCTCTTCCCATTTTTGCAATAATATTACTAATATGTTTTTTCCATGATAATCTAGAGTCAACTATTACACCCAGCAGTCTGGTCTCATGCACCTGTTCAATAATTGCGTTATTAATTTTAATATTAATTACAGGATTTTGATTAATGTTGGCCCACATAAAGTATTTGAATGTACATTCTAATAATAATGAATAATAATGGCTTAATACCAAGGCAAATGATCTATCCATAATCTTTTCTCTTTCTCTCAGGAGTACATTGTGTCGCTGATCAGTCCTGTTCATAAACACCGTGAGCGTTTGACTCTTTGGCTGCAGCGGCGACTGCATGCCCTACGCACAGCTATTGAGTACGAGAGCTGCGCCGTGGTGCAGGTGAGGGACCATGCACTGGAGCTTCAGGGAGGTCATGCGCAGGTAACAGCTGCGTGCGCTATGCTGCAGCGCCTGAAGATGGAGCACCGCGGCTGCCGCGACCCCCAGCCCTCGCCGGCTGCTGCTGGCCACGACTCTCCAGAAGAAGAGGAGGAGGAGGATGAAGCTGGGGAAGAGGGGACCAGTTCGGAGAGCGAAGGAGAGGGGCGGTCGCGGAGCGGGAGTTCTGGAGGAGGAGTCAGCACAGCGGGCTCAGGAGATGGAACGACGGGTAGGAGGCGGGACCCGCTCGTAGCAACCAAACCTCACCGGCAGCTGTGCCGCTCATCTTGTTTGGACCGTCCCAGCTTCAGCCAGAGCAGCACCTTGCAGGAGCTACGCTCGGATGACACCCGCACTGACCCCTCCCAGAGAGCCCTTGCTCCGCCCGTCTCAGCCCAAATGCCCTTACGTCAAACCAGCGACCGAGATTACCAATCCAAAATGGACTTCGCTCTAAAACTGGGCTACTCCGGAGAGCAGGTGGAGTCTGTGCTGGGTAAACTGGGAGCCAGCGCGCTAATCAATGATTTATTGGCCGAGCTGGTGCGGCTTGGGAATAAAGGAGATCCAGAGAGCCAGGCAGCAGTGGGCACTGCCAGTTTAGCACCACGGGTGGTGGGAGCCAAAGAAGCCGTAAGCCCCGAGGCATCACTGGAAGAAGACTCATCAGACATGTATGAGAACCTCAGACCAATTGTGATAGATGGATCCAATGTTGCCATGAGGTAAATTCTAATGAGAACCAAACTCATGTTTCTGCTTGTTTGAAAACAAACAATTTCTGTAATTGCTGACAACACCTGCATATGTATGCTTTTTCGTTCATTTTGAAAGTAAATGGTCAATTTTAGGGATGTACAGATTTAAAAAATCTGTCTGATACTGAATTATTTTTGGTCTAATAACCAATAGATGTTATCTAATGGCTGATATTAAAGTGATAAATGATTAAAAACAAAAAGCTAGCATCTTAAATCAGTTGTTTTAAATGCGAATTTGTGAATTTAAGCATCACAACATAATAATGCACAATATGAAAAAATGGATATAATTTTGAGACAGATACCAATGAATTACAAAATCTCTAATATTGCATGATAACCAATTTTTTACTGATATATCGGGCATCCGAAGTCAATTTTGATTTCATGTTGACTTTGAAGGGATAGTTACCCAAAAATGACAATTTTGTCATCATTTACTTACTCTCATGTCATTTCAAACTTGTTTGCATTTCTTTCTTCTGTGGAATGTAAAAAAAATATATTTTGAAGTATGCTAGTAACCAGACAGTTTTGGTTCCACTTTGACTTCCATTGTATTTTTTCTCCAAATAATGGAAGTCAATTGGAACCAAAACGGTTTGTTTACTAACATTCTTCAAAATATCTTCTTTTGTGTTCCGCAGATGAAAGAAATGCATACAGGTTTGGAACGAGATGAGGGTGAGTAAATTATGACAGAATTTCATTTTTGTGTGGACTATCCCTTTAAGGCACTGGACTGTTAACACGTTGATGAGAGAATTAGTCACAACCTGGGAAACTGAACTAGAGAGTCACCAGATTCTCACTATTGTTGTTTACTTCTGAAATGTATGTTGTTGCAGGATGTCTTTTGGAGAAATTATCTTGAAGTTCCTGTTTTGAAATGCTTTTAGTATTGAGGAATGTTCAATCAGTGAGTGAATTGAGTGTATGTCTGCATGCCTGTAATTTGATGTTGGAAATATTATTTTGTAGCCATGGAAACAAAGAGGTGTTCTCATGCCTGGGCATTCAACTGGCTGTTGATTGGTTCCTGGAGAAGGGCCACAAAGACATCACAGTTTTCGTCCCAGCATGGAGGAAAGAACAGTCAAGACCTGATGCACCAATCAAAGGTACCACAGAAGTGAAAGGAACCTGCGGAAAATAATGTTCCTATGACGAGTTAACACTTCCCAGAAGTGCGAGTATGTGTGAATATACAGTCTAAAAATCTGAGATCACCAGTTTAAATGCTTTAATTTCTTGTTTTCTAGTTTCATATGTTTTTAATATATTTTAATTTAGATAATATAAGTTTAATTGAAAGTAAATTTCAGAATGTATTAATATTGTTCGTCCTTGTTTTCCTGCTGCTGTCTCCAGAAGTTTGTTTTTAAAACCCGATGATCATGTTTTCAAGCATGATTTGAGAAGGATCCACATAGCATCTTGTGCTTTGAGACAAAAAATTTGTACCTTTTTTTGGTGCAAAATTCACAGATTTGCATATTTCATTAGTGACCTAGAAATATTCTTAATCATTTTATTTCATAATATCTATTTGTATCAAATGTTTCAAAATCCTAAAACATTGTTTGTTTTCAGGTTTTAAATTAGATTATACTTTTGACCCCTACTGTGTGTTGTTAGATACAGTGAACCTTTTCAGCGTGTGTTACCATCAAGAGACATTTTTATTTGCCTGTATGAATGTCTCTGAAGAGATGCCATGTGTCCAGTGAGATCGCCCATCTGTGCTGTGATGTTTATTCAAGTTTGCGTATGTCTGTGCATGAGGTCACAGGAAGTGATGATGTGTGATGTCACCCTCATCCTCAGATCAGGAGATCCTACGGAAATTAGAGAAGGAAAAGATCCTCGTCTTCACACCGTCTCGCAGAGTTCAAGGCCGGCGAGTGGTTTGCTACGATGACCGTTTTATTGTCAAGCTGGCCTGCGACTCGGACGGGATCATCGTGTCCAACGATAACTACAGAGACCTGCAGAATGAGAAACCGGAGTGGAAGAAATTTATTGAGGACCGACTCCTTATGTACAGCTTCGTCAATGACAAGTATGCTCGCCCACAGTTACCTTGGTGACGGGGTTTTCTCTCTCTCACTCATTTGCGTCTTTTGCTTTCCACCCTCGCACCCGTATGGCGTTCCTCTTTCTCTCTCTCTCTGTTTTTTTCTTCTTTAATTTTTATTGCTCTGTCACTTTTCAACTCTCAAGTCTCTTGTTCTATTTTATAAATAAGCTTGAATTCATTTCCTGATTTATTTGCTTAAGTTTTATTTTCAGTGATTAGGAATGAGGTCCCATGATTAGGCCTGTTGAGATTATGTAATTGCTTGTTCCCAATTATGTGTTTAAAGCCACACATTGCTTGCCCAAAAAAGTCATTTTAAATTTATGTAGAAATTACATGAATGTGCATTTTTATGTCTCTCTTTCGGATGCAGTAGTGCAGTGTAACTCCTGTTTCACACTGGATGCTCAAGCAGTGCGGAGGCAGCGCAGAGGCTGTGCGTATGCAGAGCGGGAGCAGCACGTGCCCATTGTGCTTTCACACTGGCCGGGTTTGTCGCGCTGAGCTGAACGGTGGCTTGTGTACTGCAAATACAGACGAGTATCGTCCATTCTGTCACCTTTTCCGGGGTGTTCTTCTCCGAACTCTGTCTGACATGTGCTTTGATTTATGATAGGCAGCATACCCTGCTGCGATGCGACCGTGTTTCCCTCTGTCCCACACACACATGCATATAGTATGCTGTATATAGGTAGTTTACTTGATAAAAGTAATCTTAATATTAAGATATACCTCCTAGTTAAATAAAAAATTAAAACTACCTCTAGTTTTAATCATTTAAATAGGCCTTTGAAGTTTGGGTATTTCATTTTTTCACAGCGCTGAATGTCATATGGTAATAGTGAAACACGAAACACCTCACTTACATGATTTTATGGTAAAGTTATTTATGTTAATCAGGTCAATGTTGATCAAGAACAATGCACCATGGTTTTAATTCAGCGTGATCAGCGCAGCAGAAATAGACTCTGCGCCGAAACGATCGTAGCACTGCCGATTCTGCTATGCTCCAGCGACATGCTGCCTCTGCGTGTGGCGTGAATTTTCTAACCTGTTAACATGGGTGTTGAAAAAATATGCTCTGTTTACACTTGCGGTGTGAAACCGACCTAAACCATCTGCAGTGCCTGGTTAGTACCTGGGTGGGAGACCTCCTGGGAAAACTAGGTTGCTGCTGGAAGAGGTGTTAGTGAGGCTAGCAGGGGGTGCTCACCCTGTGGTCTGTGTGGGTCCTAACGCCCCAGGACAGTGGTGGGGACACTATACTGTCAAAGAGCACCGTCCTTTCGATGAGACGTTAAACCGAGGTTCTGACTCTCTGTGGTCATTAAAAATCCCAGGACGTCCTTCGGAAAAAGAGTAGGGGTGTAACCCCGGCATCCTGGCCAAATTTGCCCATTGGCCTCTGTCCATCATGACCTCCTAATCATCCCCAAATATACTGATTGGGTTCATCACTCTTGTCTCCTCGCCACCAATAAGCTTGTGTGCGGTGGGCATTCTGCCGCAATATGGCTGCCGTCGCATCATCCAGGTCGATACTGCACATTGGTAGTGGTTGAGGATATTCCCCCTTCCATGTGTAAAGCGTTTTGAGTACCCAGAAAATCGCTATATAAATGTAACAAATTATTATTATTATTGTGAATGCAGAGTACTCCAGTTTAAGTTTATTTTAATATTTGTACAATGGCGTCAAGTAATAAAGAATTTAAGTCAAAAATATGACCCTACTTTTATACAATAATCTTTATAAAACCTCATATTTATAATATTAGCAATATTGTTTAATAAAAGAGTTTTAAGATTTAAATCATTCATATCATAGTTGTGCTTATTTTTGTCTGTTGGCTTGTTTTGTAGGTTTATGCCTCCTGATGATCCTTTAGGCAGACACGGACCCAGTCTGGAAAATTTTCTCCGCAAACGACCAGTGGTTCCAGAGCACAAGAAGCAGCCGTGTCCTTATGGTCAGTACAGCAAAAGTAGGGAATTAATTTATGTCTTTATTTCAAAACATCACAGCATATTAAAAACATAAATAAATATATTAGATACATTTTTCATGCAGGTTATTGTCATGCTATGGAATTTCCAGTTGGAATAAAACAATTTTTTTCAGTATACTGTGATTAAAAATATATATATCTGTGTTTTAAAAAACAGAAGTAAAAATTTTGGCTCAACCGCCACTATTGATTTTATTACAGGTAAGAAGTGCACGTACGGCCATAAGTGCAAGTACTACCACCCAGAAAGAGCCAACCAACCACTACGGGCTGTTGCAGACGAGCTCAGAGCCTTCGCCAAACTCTCCGCTGTAAAAACAATGAGCGAGGGGGCACTTGCAAAATGTGGGACCTCTGGTTCTGCTGCCAAGGGAGACAATAGCTCAGAGGCAAAGCGAGTGGCACCCAAACGCCAATCTGACCCCAGTATCCGGTCGGTTGCGTGTGAGCAGGAAGAGAGACTTTGTCCAATGCGGAAGGCCGAGGCCAGTTCAGTACCATCTTTAGTGTCAGCGCTTAGCGTTCCAACTATGCCATTGACAAAAAGTCATGCAGCGGGCGCTCTGAACACTCGTTCCGCGAGCAGCCCTGTTCCAGGGTCTCTGCACTTTACCCACAGCTCACTTGAGCATGCGGGCAGCATCCAATATCCCCCCATCCTAGTCACCAATAGCCAGGGCGCATCTGTGGCTTATGGTGAGCCGTTTCCCAAGTACGACTCTGTGGTAAGCGACCACGGCTACTATTCCATGCTCAGTGACTTTTCCACCATGAGCCTCCAAGACAGTTTCTGCAGTCTTGAGCAGTCAGATCCTGTAGGGGTGGGTGGAGGATATCCTGGCAGAGCTCCAGGTATGTGCCCAGAACCCAGCCGAAGCCATTCGTCGGACTCCTTCTCGTCCTACAGTGGAGAGATGTACCTCAACTCATTGGAGGGCAGCCTGGACGACAGCATGAAAGGGCCACCTTCGCAGACTCAGAACCAATGTTCGGCACAAACACGCCTTCAAGCCTTTTCTCACGGTTTCCACCATGAGGCCTTGACGCGTGTGCAGAGCTACGGAACGGATGAACCCAAACCGGGTCCTCGGAAGCAATCCTCCGCCCACCTTGCACCTCACTCCCAACACCAGGTTGTCAGTGCTCGTTCCAGCTGCCCAGGAGACTACCCTCCTCTCACCCAGAATGTGTTGCCTTCCGTCAACCCTTCGCAGCAGGGTCGATCCTTAGGTATGACTCGCATGGACAGCATCTCTGACTCGCGGCTCTACGAGAGCAACCCACTGCGCCAACGCAGACCGCCTCTTTGTCGAGAGCAGCATGCCAGCTGGGACCCTTTGCCATGCAGTAACGAACCCTACGGCTACGGATGCTATGGTTTAACGGGAGGACTCATGCCTTGTTGTGAGAGGGTGATGGTCCGCAGCATGCCCGAGAAGATGGAGCAGATCTGGAGGTCACCGTGGGATAGCGTGCCGCCTCCACAGCCCACCACTCGTGGGCTAGTGGGGGAACTCCAAGAGCGGCACCCTATTCCAGAACACCAGTTTCAAACCTACCGAAACCTCTGTAACATCTTCCCGGCGTATGTGGTCCATTCAGTCATGGAGAAGAACCCTCACATGACCGATCCCCAGCAGCTGGCTGCCGTCATCGTCACTAAACTGCGCTCTTGCCACTAAGCACATCACAAGAGGCTGCTAACAACAGCACCACATGATATATTGATATCCTAGTGGATGAGAAATTGGACACCTCAAGTGTTTTGTGTTTTTGTTTAGCTCTTAAGAAACAGCCATCCCCCATACGTAATTCTGATTGGATTGGATCCATTCGAAGGTTGGCTAGCATGATAGCATTGATGCTGCATCGGTTGTTATGTCATCTGTTAAGCCATATGGGAGCCTGGATCTTGTACCTGATAAGTTTAGCATAGAAAAGTGAGATCCCTCAACAAAACAAAAGTCTTCTGCAAAGTCCTGATTTCTCCACCATTCAGCTCCTGAGATGGGCCAAAAGGTTCTTGAGGTTTAGGGTGGCCTGGAAAATTGTTCATAAAGCCGACTCGAAAGTGTATCCACATTGAAAGAGCAACTCTGCCTGCCAGTTCGATGGCAGATCTTGAGAATGTGTTATTTTGTGGGTTATGATAACATTTATCCTTTGAAAAGGAATTACATGAGAGAAATCTCTTTAGTAAAACCGATCAGAAATGATCCTGCACAATATGAATAGTATTGTGTATGTATATGTGTATTCACTTGCATTTGCGTGTAAATATGACGTGACGCTGTGGTGTTTTATTTGGTGTGCGTGATGACTTGATGTGTGATTTCGGAAAGAGGAATGAACGCTTGCGTACCTCAAAGCATGAACCTTTGAACTTTTATGGCCTTACTTCGGAGTGACCTCACCACACGTTAATGTGATTAGCGCTTAATAGTTGTGGAGGTCACATTTGTTTTATAAAAGCAAGCACTGGGACAGAGAGGTTTAGATTCTGCCATGCTGCAGTTTTAATTTTAATTGGCTGGGCTGTAACTGCAAATGTGCCCTGCAACGTCTATTCGTGCCCATGCACAGATGTGTATTTACCAAGCCATTTTAAAAGACTGAGCCAAAAAGATTTTCTGATCGGAAAGCACTAGGTACATTTAGTTGGAGAAGTTATCCATATGTATTTCCTTAATGTTGTTGTTGTACTGTAGATTTAAAGAGAGATGTTTGAGTATTTGGTAAGCATGGGCTTCAGTAAATCTCTCCCAGAAAGCATGTTAGCACTATGCTAGACAGAGAGCGCCGCTCACGTTTGACTTGATAGTCAATAACTATGTTCAAGTATTCACAAACTGGGGAGGAGAATGAGTCTCTTCGGCAAAATGCTCTTGTGCAGCATCTATTTCCTGATTGATGCTGAGAGACCACCCCTTTTCATCTGCTCGCCCTGTAAATTAACATATCTTCAGGAGAGCGTGAATGTTATCAGTCCAGAGATGCTCTGGGTGTTTTCAAAAAGACTTAAATTGCTCCTTCGTTTTTTTTTTCATGAGCACAGGTGTAGCCCCGTGGGGCCCCGTTACTGCTCGTGGGAAGGTGTGACACACTGCCTACCTGTCTCTTCCTGTGCGACACACACAAGGAACACCAGGCTGTTGTTGGGTTGTTTCTGACATTTGGCTGACAGTTTGCTTGCTGCCTCTCGACCGCACCCGACCCTCCTTTGACTTGTACTCAAAACCCATCCTCTCAGCTCTCTAATACGAACACACAGTTTACCTTCCTCTTAGTTTTTGTTTTTCAACAAGGTTCTTTCAGAAGGCCATTATTAAATTTTTAAATAAGAGGCTTTTCTAAATTAATATTTTTAAATGTAATTGTTTTTGGCCAGAAACATATTTATGCAAGTACATAAATGTAGACACTAATGCTTGGTCAATGCATTGCAAGCGCTCATGACTTCATGCCGTTTTTTTGGTTAATAGCAACACAAGAAGTCCTTCACTAGTGATTGAGCTGTGATATCAAAGGCAGTAGATGATACAGTATTCCTTCTCATGCTTTTAAGTACCTCCAGAAAAGTATTTACAAAACATCTATTTTAGAAATAATTTTTTGTTATTTTATGCTCTCATATTGTGAGTTTACTATTGTCCTCTGTAGTACCCCTTGTGGCAGAATTGTGTTAGGAATTGACACCTATCAGGATTTCAAGACATTGCATTCTAAAATAAGTGTTGCGGTGTGGTCATATCTATAATCTATTACTTTTTTTTATTTTTTTGGGGGTGATTCAGTAATTTCGATTGTAATCCAGGGATTTCCAGTGAGGGCACAGTTTTCGCAATGGGTTCAAGTTGTTCAATAGACAATGAACCTTTTTTGCCCACAAAATTTCGCTAATGTCACCACGTCATTAGCATCATTGATGTATTTACATCAGGTATGTTTCAGGCCTAATTATATATATATATAAAAATTTTTTTAAATGGAAGTGTTTTTACGGTTGGGTCTCCTCTTCCCCTTCTCTGAACCTTGGAGCAAAAAAATCCTGAAGAATATTGTTTCTAGAGCAAACTAGAAACTTTTTTTTTTTGTAAATGAAGACATAAGACATTGCTGTCCGCTGCTTATGCTCCAAGGTTCAGACCCCCATGCAGTTGAGCAGCAAGCTACCACACATCAAATGTCCAGAAACGACCTTTTGCTTGTTGATACAAATTGTATCTATTTCATGATTGTAAAAAAATATATATTTCTGAGCTGTACAGTATCACTTATATGAGTATATATATCTATATATATTTAAAAAAAAAGAAAAAAAGCTTAGTTTTGTTTAAAAAAAAAAAAGGAAAAAGAAATATAATGCCATAATGTCAGTGATACCGTGTGTCACTCGAGTAGCCCATAGAGATGGCTTATTTCCTGCCGGGCAGACCACTACAGACAGGGATCTCTCTCTATCTCTCCCTCTCCTTTTCATTTCTTTCTGTCCTCTCATACCTCCCTCACTTTTCCATGCCTCGGAATTTGCTGTTTGATGATTATTTTTGAAAATGATAGTTTACCTCAGTGGAGCTGAACTTAATTTCTGTTTGACTGAAGGATTTTTAGGGCGTGGCTTTATATATCATCATTTAGTCTCTCTCTCTCTCTCTCTCTCTCTCTGTTAAAGGTATAGATTCAGGAGAGAGACATTCTGACACAATCAGTGTGCTCCTAATATATTTTTCCTCTTTGTAAATATTGAAAATTATTGTCATACCTCTTGTATTTGCACAGTATTAGTGCATTTCATTTACATAGACACTACCAGCTTATTCGAGCAGGATCTGTCTCTCATACACACTTAGACTCTATAGGTTGCCTTGACAACCACAGTCAGCTGATCACATGCTAGCATTAGTACTGATATAACTAATGTAAAATGTTGACTATTGTGTGCGCACTAGTGTGAATTTATGGTAAATTCACCAGTTTCACCTGTAACATAGCTTACCTTCTACAATGAAGACATGGAGGTGCCATTCCAGGTTAAAGATGAAACTTTAATTGGATGGAATTTGCACAATAATGTTTTTATTTTTATTTTTTAATTTAGCAAATAGGTGAGTTTGAGCAACTGAAGTTGATGCCACATGCACACACATTCTCTCACGAGTGAAATGAGCTTTATCTGAGTCTCCTACTGAAAGATGTCCACACTAACACATGAACATGCGCACCTCGTAATCTGCCTTACAGTTGAACTATTTTGGTTTGTGAGAGTCGAGCACACACTGACTGTACACCACCGAGCATTGCGCTTCTTGCTTGTCTTTTTATTCTCATAAACGGAAGCGCTAATGAGAAGACGAGGTTTTTTTGCCTTCAGCTCTTAATCTCTATTGGCGTCTGAATGGACAACCTGATTTTACTGCACGAACTGCAAGTTTTTATGATTAGGTTTGATGAGAATGTCCAAGAAGAACCTACAGGACAAATGGATATACCCCAAGGAAAAAAGTAAAAAATGGGCATTTCCAACTATCAGAACAGATGGTTTGGAGATCTGATGAATTCTGTACATTTACATGTATGTTTTCAATATTGAATTACACCAGCTATAACTCGCTCACACACACTCTCACCAACAGATTGATTCTCAGGAACTAACTGATGTATTATTATTATTTCTGCTCCTTTATGAAAGACATTATACTTGATGTTTGCTCTTATAAAATTGCGGCGATTTGTGAAGTAGTGTGGATGATCTTGAAAACGTGTTCTTAAATTCGAGGTTTGCTGTTTATTTAACATCCCTCCCCCCTGTATTGTAGGTTTTTCGCGCCTTCGCAGGTTGACCGAGTGGTTTGACACTTTTGAGTCTCGTGCTGTGATGATGACATACAAAAGTATGTTTTACTCTCTACTGAATGAAACATGTTGCTTTAAACTTGTTTTCAATAAAAACAAGAACCAAAAAAAGAGAACGAAAAAAAAAAAAAAGAAGAAAGCGAAATAGTGTGGGAAAACTTTATAACGCTTTGGGTCTGTGTACTCAAACAAAATGTAAGTCTCAATGACAAAAGGTGTTTGTTCCTCTCAATAAAGCCAGACTCTATTTGGTTAACTGTTATCATGCCTGTTTTCCTATTGGTTGTGTGTTTGACTTACTTTAGAATGAAGAAATACTGACAAAGTTAGATAGTAATATTGCAAAACACCACAGTAAGACACTATTATTGAGTTAGAACAGACATAAAAAAAATCTATCCACACCTAGATCCACATTTCAATTTTAGAAATGTATTGCTTTAGATACAAAATATCAAACCAAGTGGCAAACAAATTATGCTAGTTTTTCTCAGAAAAGCTTTTCTGAGCCACTTTATCAGTTATTTTTTTAATCAGTTTGTCTATTGGTCACCTTTCATCGATTTTTGAAGTCAATTCCTCTCAAGTTCACATAGGAGTCCTCGCAAAATAACCACCTATTAGTTCATTATATTGACAATAAACACAGAAAGTGTCCCAGTGTTTATTTTGATAAATTATATTGTTTTTTATTCTCCAACAAACAACTTTCATTCAACATTTTTGAACATATCCTCACAGATGCTACCTTTATTTAATCAAAAATACATTGAAAGTAATGATATATTTCAAAAAATGTATACATTTTAAAATGTAATTTATTCCTGTGATGGTAAAGCATTTCTCCGTTGTGCTGCTTAATACTTTTTGGAAATGGTCCATAAACTTTCTTTACTGTCACTTTTGATCAATTAACTGCATCCTTGCTGAATAAAAAGTATTTAATTTCTTCATCTTTTTTTTTAAGTTATAATAACCACAATCTTTTGAACAGTAGTGTGCATTTTCAAGTGGCTCAAGTGTCCAAATACGTTTTGGGGCAAAAATAAGATAACCCAATTGTGCTGCATACTGATTACCACAGTGTAATGCAAGTCTATGCAAATAAGCTGATGTTTAGGATGTGTAGTCAGTCATAATGGAAGCCAATTCCATGGAGGTTTAAGTAGCAAAAATAGCATGTTTAATTCTGTATACATTACAGCTATTTTAGTGCAAGAAACCTGGGCTAGTAAGTGGATCTTGAAAAACAGAATAAACATTTAACAGATAAGTACAGAAATTTGTTTTGTTTTTTATTTGGCAACTTTGTGTTCAAAAATAATGTAATTTACAACATTTTTCAAACAGCACCAACTTCTTCATTAGAACCTCG